CCAAGCAGGGAGCCCGATGCGGGGCTCAATCCCAGGACCCTGGGATCATGACCTGAGCCGAAGGCAGACGCTTAACGACTGAGACACCAGGCACCCCGAAGCCCAGTTCTTTCAAAGAGAGAGCAACAACTCTCCTTCCAGGACTGTGGAGAGGCCTTCTCTCTTTATTCACAGACAAGAGCTGAAGCTGAGCTCAGGATGACTGCACCCAGTGGGCCCTGGGATATGGGTCTGCATGGAATGCCAAGCCTGCTTCCAGAAGCTGCCTCTGGGGAGGGAGTTGCAGAGGAATGGCCCCAGTTAAGGGTTACTGCGGAGGTGCCTGTGAAGGCTGGGGGTCTTCCTGAAGGGCCCCAGGACAGGCCTGGTTGGAAGGGTGGGGAGGGCCATCATTCTAGATGGGAGGAGAGGAGAGATGAGGAATGGTCTGCTCCGGGAAGGCAAGGAATTCCCTATGGCTGTGGCCTAAAGTGGGGGAAGGAAGGAGGAGAGGAGAGACTGGGTGGGGCCAGGTCCAGTGAATGGGTCTCATCTCCCAGTGGGCTGAGTTTGGTCACCTCGTTCATTCAGTCGAAAAGAATTAACAGAGTGCAAACAGCGTGTCAGGCACTGTTCTAGATGCTGGGGGATATGGCAGTGACTACTGAGGGACCTGCTCTCCTGGAGGGAACACGGAGGAGAGGCACCAAAAATAAGGAACCAACAGTAAGATAAATTTCTGGCAGAAAGCCATGCTGTGCAGAAAATAAAGCAGAATGATGAGTTGAGAGTTTGGGAGAGGGGTCCGGGAGGAGTGATTAGCGGACATAATGCCGCTGAGGTCTGAGGACAAGAAGGAACCCGCTACCAAGGACTGGGAAGCAGCAGTCAGAAGCTAATTGTATAAGGCAATTGTTTTGCTAATAAGATCATGTTAAGAAAATTAGGCTCTTTTCCTTTCGGAATGAACTCATTAGTGAGCTGTATTTTTAGTTCTTTCTCCTGGGTTTTAGAGACTGGGCAGGAGGGGGAGGTTTGTTGGGACTGATGGGGAGGACTCTGGACCCCCCCACCCCACCGTGTCCCAGGGGAAGGGACGCGTGTCAGAGGGAGGAGGCAGGGGGGAGGGGCACCCACCTGCTCCGAGAGGTCACGTCCAAGAAGCACTGCACGAGGGCCAGCAGGTTGTGGTGGTGACCTGACACCTTGCTCAGGGTGCGGCACAGCTGCTGGAGCTGTGGGGGCGGCGGGCGGCAAGGGGGGCTGCAGGAGGGCCCGTCGTCACCCTGACCTCCCCACCAGTCCACTTAGGGGGAAGCCAGAGAGTAAGAGGAGGGGGCGGACGCGGAGCCCAGGGACTGGCGGGCACGTTCCCCGGCATCCTGGTGACCTCCAAGCCTGCCATTCCCATTGAGTGCGCTCAAGGTGCAACTTCAGTCCCAGCAACAAGGTCAAGTGGAGGAGGCTCAGGACCTTACAGAGGAGGCTAGGGCTTGGGCTTGGGCTTGGGCTTGGGCTTGGGCTTGGGCTTCGGAGCTCATGATACCTTCCCGGGCCACTCGCGGATGTTCTCAAGGAGCAGGAGCAGAAGCTGCTGAAGATCGGTCTTGGGCAGCAGGCGGAGCCCCACGTCTAGGCCGGCTCGGCACAGCAGCTCGATCAGGTTCAAGAGCTCCCTGTCGGTGTAGGCCGTTGGCTGGGCCAGGGCACACAGTGTCAGGAACTGGAGAGCGGAGAGAGTGCTAGGGCAGGGAGGGATGGTACCCGGAGCCCTGTGGCCGGGCTGGGCAGCGGCTGAGAAAGACAAGCGGCAAGGCCTAGAGTCAAGCCCCCCATGGGGTGCTCCGGTGGCAGGCCTGGCCGTGGGGACTGTGAGCTTTCTGCAGCATCAGTCCCGGCAGCCGGCGTGGGGCCTACAGCGGCGCCGAGCCCACGGGGGGTGCTCAGTGGTACCTACCGCGTGCAACTGCTCAGCAGGTCTGGATGGTGGGCAGAAGTGGGCGTCTGACTCACCTTATAGATGTAGCTCAAGCTACTGTCCAAGGCAGTCTCTGGGGGGCTGTCCTGCCACTGACTCCAGCTCAGGCTGATGTCGTTTTTAAGCACTCTAAGGTAAGACAAAAGCAAAGGGAAGGAAATGAGAGGAGGTGGATGCAAGGGGATAACTGAGGCAGGGACAGGGGCCTGCCGTTGCTCAAGAGCAGAGAGCCTGTGGATGGTCCATGCAGCCTGGGACACTCATGCCCTATGTGTGTTGGTCATCTACTGCTGCGTAACAAATCCCCCAACATACAGAGGCTTAAAAACAACAAATATTTATTATGTCATGCAGTTTCTGAGAGTCAAGAATCCAGGAGCTGCTTAGCTGGGTGGTTCAGGCTCAGGGTTTCTGGGGAGGTTGCCTCCAAAATATTGAGGGTGGGGCTGCTGTCACGTCAGGCCAGAATGGGCTGGAGGAACTGCTTCCAAGCTCACTCGTGTGCCCACCAGCAGGCCTCCAAGTCCTTACCCCATGGCCAGCTTCCCCCAAAGTGAGCGATTCGAGAGAGGGGAGAATGCCAGAGACTGAAGCCACAGCCTTTATAACCTGGTCTTGGAAGTGACTTCATCCCATCACTTCTGCTAATGCACACAGACCATCGAGACTCCGAGTGGGGGTGAGAGCCACACAGGGGGAAGAACGCCGGGAGATGGGGATTCCTGGGGGCTGGCTCCCAACGGCTGCCATTCCAGCCAGGCCTCAGGCTTTACTTTTCTGGGACTCGAAGACCAGAAAATCATACTCCATTATCCCAAAAGAGTCTTCCTCAAGAAAGTTCTTTGTCCATACAGGTATGGTGGCTCTTTGCATGCACGGAAAAGTACACCACATGGTAGCTTACGTGGGGGCTAGTTTCCAAAGTCAGCAAGTAATATGGGGTAATTCAGAGTAAAAATGATCTTTGAGAACCCCTCCAAAGGTCACGCTAACACGCTGTCTACCGACGAAGTTAGAGCTTAGGGTCATATGAAAAAAAACCCCAAAAACCAAAACACCTCTTTAAAGACTAGAGTCGTACTCAGGGTGGCAAGATCCCTACAGTGAGGGGGGCATCAGTGGACAGCAGAGCTGCACCACCCTTGCACAAACTTTCCAGGCGCATGCTCACTGGATAGAAAACAGAGCAGCATCGGTCTCACTAAATCATTCTCTCTCTCCGGTCAAATGTATACTGTTGATTGTCAGATACTGTTGAGGTGAGCTTATGACAAGGCTCCCTGTGCTGTCTCATCCACTTCTCCATGCTTATTAACTGGTTTGGAGTTCCCGAGAACAGTGGGCTCTCCACAAATGAAGGTATGGAGGACGGCAACACTGTTGCCCACAGCATCTCCAGGGTAGCCGCCTGACCGCTGACCAAGGGGGAGCCCTCGCTCCTGCATGCTCCAGGGAAGAGTCTCTGCTCTTCTTTACTTGACCCTGGTGCTGCTTCTCAGACAGGAAGAGGGAGAAATCCATCTCTAGGCACCGGAGAATTGGTGCCCACACACTGACGTCAGGGGAAGGGGCGGGGGTTAGGACTGGGCTTGGTCATTCTTCCAGAGTTCAGCATTTATTAGGGCCAGGGAATGGGTGAGGCTGCGTGTGCACATCTGGGCACCTGCTGGACCCGTGTCCGTACAGGAAGGCTGTTCTGGTCGGCTCCAGCCTGGGAGCAGGCACAGGGGCCGGAAGCACGAGTGGCAATGTGTTCAGACTTCCCCAAGGGTGGGGGCAGGCACAGAACTGTGACTCTGCTGAAGAGGAATGGGCTTTCAGACAGTTCGGTGCTGCCAGAAGCGGAGTGTGGAAAACGTGAGCTGGGGAGGGAAGCGTGTCTGTGACAAGTGGAGAGGGCCAACAGCCTCCCTGTGTGAGCATCTCCCTGCGCCGCCTCTCCTTGGGAAGAGCGGGCAGTATGGTGGCGTCCTCTATCCCCTGCCTTTCCGAGGCTCTGAGGAACCACTTGACCGGACCGTCTGCCTCTGTGACTGCTATTCTGGGATGTGGCATCCACTGACGCCCAGGCCTCCATCTCCATGCTCCAAGCAGGAGGCCACGGAACACAGGCATCCACAGCCCAGCAACCCCGCTCCCCTCCTGGACTCAGCAGGTTAAGAGCGAGGTGACGGTCCCACCACTGGACTCCATGAACAAAGCGCTTCATCTGTCCACCCCCTGCCCCTCAGCCCTGACCCCCAGCTGGCTGGGTTAGGGCTCAGCCTGTGGCCAGCACCCAGGAGCTGGAGTTGGGTTACAACGACACTGTTCTATACTTACAAGTAATCTTTTTTTTTTTTTT